ACAGGTACTCGACATGAATGTGAGAGAGAAACACGGGCATGTGCATCGGCGATCCCCATAACTCATTGCAGGGGCAAATCTGTTTCCAGAACTGTAGGGTTCATACTGGTTCAGTTGTGTAGTAGAGGTTGGGAAATACTAGCAAAGAATTTAGAACAAAAGTGGTGTGCATGGCGCATGCTGAAATTGAGGTAATTAGAGCAGGAATATTGCTAAATCTATAATTTTTCAAGGTTTGGTCGAACTGTGGTCGTCCATCGGAAATGTGGGAACAGGAACGCGAAGGTTGAACGACAGCCGCCTTGTGGAGGTCTCGCCTTTCCTGTTGCCACGCGGGACTTTGACAGCTCGGAGATAAGCCTCAAACTTGGGTAATTAAACTTTATCCGGTATATATAGACAAATACAAGTTTGAGATATGTGAGTTGAGTAATTACTGGATAAGTGAGATAGACAAGTGGATGAAAGGCTAAGAGGTCGCTGGCAGATGAGGTCAGCGTCTGTAGAAGTGAGCCGGGGTGGGCGGAGCCGAGCTTCAATGTTTCCTGATGTACAGTCCAGATAAAGGCTGTTGGCATAAAGAAACCTGATGACTCAGCCCGAGAAGCCTATCGATCGCCATTAATTGAGGTTACAGATGAGTCATCGCTAAATGAGGTGCTACGATAATAGCGCACCAATAAGGAAGTAGTATATTACGGTAAAACGAAAGAGGAAGTATCGATGATCCTGGTGGAGAATCGATATACTCCCGGCCGGCACGATGAGGTATCCTGGTGAACCTGCTGCGCGGATGCGTTACTGGTGCCCGCGGGAATCCGTGCGGCTTCGTTTACCTGGTGGTGATCGTCCGTGACGAGATTCCTGATGTCTCGTGTCGTGTGCCAGTCGTCGTTCCATGGACTCGAGACGTTCCTTTTGTGCGATGAGTTTCTTCTTGTCCTCGTTCATGTCGTGGAGACGATCAGTTGAGTCGGGCTCGTTTTCTCGCAGCGTGTGTTCCATTTGTCGTTTCAGACGTCGCAGTTTATCGTCCGTGTCGCGGAGATCGTTACGAATCTGCTGTAGAGTACGAGTATCGTCCCTGTTCGGGCTGGCACGCGTATGACTGTGGAACGAACTGTTGGTTCTTCTGACCGTCTGCTGCGAGGTGTGTCCCGGTCTGCTGCGGTGATCATCAGCCTGTGGCGATCGTCTCACTGAAGGCGGTCGAGTGACCTCGTGTGTGCAGAGTCGACGAATGTCCGAGAGATGCTATCCAGTGTAGCCGTGATCTGCCCTATGTCATTTGCATTACGATCTGCTTTGTCTTCGATGCGTTGGAGCGTCTTACGCAGTTCTTGCTGGTCTTCAAGTACTGTTTGAAGATCGTCCTTGACCACGGGTTTCGGCTGAACCTCAAAAAGATGAGCTTGATATTGACGAAGAGTGTCGAACTCTTTCCGCATGGTCGTCGTCAGCTCGACCTTAGTGAGTGCACACGGTGTTTTCAGCTTGAGGAGCGCCTCAATTTTCTGCTCGAGAGCCGTTTGCCATTCGAGGAGCTTTTTCCATCCTTGTTCGTGGCTCTGTGCTTGTTGTTTCTGGATCTCCTGTAGCTGTTGAACTGCTTTACCCTCGAGTGATCCTGATGAACGTATCGCTGCCACTTCGGAGAAGAGGGATATGGTGTTCGCATGTGTCTCCTGACGCAGTCCGGCTACCTCTTTCTGGATCTTGTCGTACTCGTCAAATGCGAGGCCAATGAGCGACCATCCGCCCTTGAGTATCTTATTGTAGGCCTTCTCCATGTTTTCTTGACGTTCGTCATGAACTTTCTTGCTTGGCGCTTCTGTCATAGTCGTCGTACGTGGAGTGGACGACTTGTCACTTGCTGTCGATGACGAAGGTTTTGGAGGTGGTGGTGGCTTCTTTTGTTCGGCTGCTGACTTGCCAGACGACTCTTTTCCTTTGCCCATTGTGAACGTTGCTGAACTGTAAAGGAAGTAATTAGGTGAAGAGTCCCTGTATGAGGGCTACACAGAAGTGGGTGATGAGCGTGCATGTGTGAGTAACATATAGTGTGACATATAGTGTGGCCTATACATAGAGTGGGTTCTGACTCCTGGTGTTCACAAGTCCTTTCTGGTGCGTGTTCGGCGACGTCGTCGAAACAGCACGCGTAAAACTCCTTCGACACAGTACCGTATACTACGGTATATCGTCTTCCACAACAGTACTATTATGTGGAGCACAATTCGTAGTCCGAAGCTCCAGAGAAAAACGTAGCCAATAGCTATGCTGAGAAGAGCAATGACCACGACCGTGATTCCAAACTTGTACCAGGATATGAACACGTCCAGAATATGTCCTAAATCTGGCAGTACGAATTCGTCGTAGACCGTGCTCTGTCCAGCGATCACTCTTTCTGCTGTCGTACGTAGCGTTCGGGTCCAATAAAGAATCCCAGTGAGCTCGAACTTCGTTTTGGTGGTTCCACACGTAGTCACACATTGTTGACGTATCTGTGCTCGTGTAAAGCTGAATCGGAGCGACGAGATTGCTCCTGTTGGATGACACGGCACTGTGAAGGTGGCGTCGTCGCAGGTTATCGATGCCATCGTGTACTCTTTTTCGCTGTAACACAGTATGGTTGCCACTGCGCCCTGTGCACAGTGATAACAGCCATGGATAGTGGAGTCCTTGATCGTGCATATCGTGTCTGTGACTTCCTTCTCGGTGGTATCGAAGTCTTCCTTGATGGTCAGAAGAAGTTCTGCCGTGGACAGACTGGACACGATTGCGCGGACTGTAGCATCTTGTGGCCATCTAGCATCTTCCCATACGAAGACCATGGATTGCTTTCGAGAGTGTGGCCGTTGGCCATACTCTCGAAAGCAATCCATGATCTTCGTATGGGAGTCTTCGCCGTACATCAGTGAAGATTTCAGTGACGTTATGGTCGACACAGACGCAATTGACGGTGTCTTCTGCTGGTTGGCAGTTGCAGATGGGGTGAACGTCACATGCCAGAGCTTCCGCCTCCCTGTTCGAAGTGCACTGTAGTGGCGGCAGCTGACTTTCATCCCACAGAGCTACGTCCTGTCCTGCGGCTATGAAAGTCGTGTGCAACACTGGTGAGG